AAGAACCGCTGGTCTGAGAGTACAGTGGGCAAGCACTTGCCTTGCACACAGCTGATGTGAGTTGGATTCCCTGTTTGACCCCAAACCTCTCCAGGAGTGATCCTAATGCCCCACCAGGAGCCACATATGATTTCCAAGCCCCACCAAGAGGGATCCCTTTGGTAATGGGGGCCATACAAGGCCACACAAAGCTAAAAAAAAAAAACAACTAAGAACCCAGTTTAAAAATGGCTAAAGAACACATAGGAGATAACCTCATTCTACTTTGTGAGAATGACCATTTTAAAAAGCCAACTGGAGTTGAGGAGTTGTTTTCAGGATTGGTTGTTTGTACTGCATGCTCTCCAAGCTTCCCAACCCAGCACTACGGATATGGCCTTGGTGGCACCCAGAACTATGGGCCTGAGCAGTGCCATATTGCCAGATCCTAGCATTGATTCTTCATCTCTTTCCAGCTTGATTGGCTGAATAACTCAGTAACAGCCCCAGGAGGCCCCTGAGCATTGTTATGGAGACTCCCCTCCCACCCCCACAATAGACAATTAAGTATTGGCAAGTACATGGAGAAACCGGACTGCTTGTGTATTGTTGGTAGAAATATAAAATGATGTGAACACTATGGAAGCTGGTCTGGAGATTTCTCAAGACCAAAAGAAAAAAAAATCATATGATCCATCAATCTCACTTCTGGGTATGTATAGGTGTACCTATATATATGACATTGCATAGCTATGACATTGGATCGAACATTCTCTAACTGCCATACAGAGACTTGCAGGTGAAAAGAATGCCTCCTGACTCAGCTATCTGACTCAGTTCCCTGCCCTCAGCAATGAAAGTTCCAATACCCGCCCACTCACTTCTTCCCTAGATGACTATGGTCCAGAATCAACATCCTGTCCTTATTGCCCATTAGGAAAGAAACAGGAAATCCATCTGCTGATCCTTACTAACAACCCCACATCCTTCTACCAGAAGCCTCCTTTCAATTAATCCAAAATTTCTGAACAAGAAGTAAGTATTGGCTGTAGTTTAGTGGCTGAACACAGGCTTTGAAAGTGTGAGGCCTTAAGAAAAAGATATTAAGGGCATTCAGGTAGGAAAGGAAGAAATAAAGCTCTCACTATTCGCAGATGATATGATACTATACTTAGAGAACCCAATAACCTCCACCAAAAAACAACTAGAAACAATAGACTCGTATAGTAAAGTTGCAGGCTATAAAATCAATACCCAAAAGTCCATGGCTTTCCTATATGCAAACAGTGAAAGAGAAGAAAGCAACATGAAAAAAACAATCCCGTTCACAATTGTGCCCCAGGAAATCAAGTACTTAGGAATCAGCTTAACTAAGGAAGTAAAGGACCTGTACAAAGAAAACTACAAAACGCTACTTCAGGAAATAAAAGAGGACATGAGGAAATGGAAAGATATCCCCTGCTCATGGGTCGGGAGACTTAACATTGTCAAAATGGCAATACTACCGAAAGCATTGTATAAATTCAATGCAATCCCTATAAGGATACCCATGACATTCTTCAAAGAAATGGAGCAAACACTCCTGAAATTTATATGGAACAATAAGCCCCCACAAATAGCTAAAGCAATTCTTGGGAAAAAGAAAATGGGAGGAATCAACCTCCCAAACTTCAAACTGTACTAACAAAGCAGTAATAATTAAAACAGCATGGTACTGGAACAAAGACAGAACTGCAGACCAATGGAACAGGGTTGAATACACTGACATCTCCCCTCAATCATATGACCATCTAATCTTTGATAAAGGTGCAAGTAATGTGAAGTGGAGTAAGGAAAGCCTCTTTAACAAATTGTGCTGGCATCACTGAACGGCTACATGCAAAAAAAATGGGCTCAGAACTCTGCCTAACACCATGTACAAAAGTAAGATCAAAATGGATTAAAGACCTCAACATCAGACCAGAAACCATAAGGTACATTGAAGACAAAGTTGGCAAAACCCTCCATGACATTGAAGTTAATGGTATCTTCAAAGATGCCACGCCACTGTCTGAGCAAGTGAAAACAGAGATAGATAAATGGGACTATCTTAAAGTAAGAAGCTTCTGCACCTCCAAAGAAACAGTGACCAAAATACAAAGACAGTCTACAGAATGGGAAAGGATATTCGCTGAATACACATCTGACAAGGGGTTGATATCCAGGATATACAAAATACTGGTTAAACTCCACAAGAAGAAAACATCCAACCCCATCCAAAAATGGGGCAATGAAATGAACAGAAACTTTCTCAAAGAAGAAATCCGAATGGCAAAAAAGCACATGAGAAAATGCTCCACATCATTAATCATCAGGGAGATGCAGATCAAAACCACAATGAGATACCATCTCACACCTCAGAGACTGGCCCACATTCAAAAGAACAAAAGCAACCGATGCTGGCGTGGATGTGGCGAGAAAGGGACCCTCCTTCACTGTTGGTGGGAATGTCGACTGGTTCAGCCCTTCTGGAAAACAGTATGGACGATTCTCAAAAAATTCGAAATTGAGCTCCCATTTGACCCAGCAATACCACTCCTGGGAATATATCCCAGAGAGGCAAAAATGTATAGTCGAAGTGACATCTGCACTTGTTTGTTCATTGCAGCACTCTTTACAATAGCCAGAACCTGGAAGAAACCTGAATGCCCAAGAACAGATGACTGGTTAAAGAAACTTTGGTACATCTACACAATGGAGTACTATGTAGCTGTTAGAAAAGATGAAGTCATGAAATTTACATACAATTGGTACAACATGGAAAGTATCATGCTAAGCGAAATGAGTCAGAAAGAGAGGGATAGACATAGAAAGATTGCATTCATCTGGGGGATATAAAGTAACAAAATATGAGATTAATACCCAAGAATAGCTGAGATCAGCACCAGGAGGATTACTCCATAGCTTAGTGGCCAGTCGGGCATTCTAGAGGAAAGGGCAGCTCAGATACAGAAGGGAACACCAAATAAAGGGTGTTTGGAGGATCCTCCCAGGAGGGGAGATGCATGTCGAAAGTGGACTATGGACTGAACATGTTTGCCACTTAATGCCTCTTTTGCAGACCACAACATCCAAAAGGAGAGAGAGAACACAGGGGATTGCCCTGCCACAGAGGCAGGGGGGATGGGAGGGTGGGGGTGGGGGGGATATTATCCATGGTGGTGGAAAATGGGCACTGGTGGAGGGATGGGTATCTGATCATTGTATAATCAAACCCAAGCACAAAAAATTGTAAATCTACAACTGTACCTCATGGTGTTTCACTAATAAAAAAAAAAAAAGAAAGAAAGTGTGAGGCCTTTGTTGTATCGCTGTCAACTTCCCATGCAACCAAAACTGACAAAAGTTTCAAAGGAATGACCTTAGGTTAGTCAGCCCACTCTCTTGCTTGATCCTTTAAAACATCTTCAGGCTTCTCAACCACAGTGTTATAGCACACACTTAGCACATACCAGGCCCCATGTTCATCCTGGTGCCACAGGTGCTCCTCACCTTCCTCCCACACCACTCTTATCCATGTAGCCATGTGGCTCCAGAACATAAAAAAAATTATATGTCTTAAGGCCTAAAACTCTAAAGCTATTAAAAGAAAACATTACGTTTGAAAACTTCATGATTTGGGCCATGACAATGACTGCCTTGAAAAGCACTGCAGGGTGTGGTCACTCTACTCAAAAACAAAACAAAACAAAACAAAACAAACAAAAAAAAACCTTCCTCATGCCCTGTTTATGGAAAATACCCCAGAACCACCCCTGGGTGGTGGACTTGAATCATGATTCCTAATCTCTACCACAAGCTTTCTTGATAATATTATGTACCATCTCCCTTGGCCCAAGGAAGCCCTGTTCACCATGGAAAGTCAGAGAAACAGATGCTCCCCACAATTGGTTCAACCTTGACGCTTCTTCAAAATTTCTGTGCAGCCTTCAACACAAAATGATCTATTGTCTTGAAACAAAAAGTCAGAAAACATCCTGTATGACTCACATCACCTGAAACCATACAGAAACCAAAAAATCTCACTTCTGGGTGGTGTAACTGGGTGAAAAAGAAATGTTAAGAAAATTAACTCTTAGCTTCCTAAATATTTACCATCAGTACATTTGTTAGTTGGCTCTAAACTTTTCTTGCCTGGGGGATAGTAATTTTGGAGGAAGGGATTGTTTCTGCCTGATTCATTCAAATAGCTCTCAAACTTTAAGTTCCGATTTTGGACCACACTCTTCACTGCTAAGGGGCTCCTGGCTCAAGGCCCAGGGTCGCTCTCCGCGGTGCTCGGGGATTCCGGGGTGTGGACCCCGAACCTCCAGCCTGCATTACACTCAGCCCGTTGACCTCTACCAACCGTTTAAAGGAAGGTCTGGGCAAGGCAGCCCTGCCCAGCAAAGGGCCGGCATTCTCTGGAAGCCAAATCCGAGCAACGCCCAGCGTAACCAGGCAAAGACAAAGCCCCGGAGTAAGGAAACCCACTTGTGTGGTTCAATGAAAGAGGCAGCTCCCAGCCCTCCACCCTTAGCACACAGTCCCTGGAGTTCCATCCCCACGTCCCAAGGGCACTGACCTAGCCTGAGCGTTTCACCTCAGCCACAGGTGCCCACAGGCATCTGCCTCTTAGGTTAAAGCCCCAGCTCCGAGAAAGATGCGCCCTGCCCAATAAAGTTTTTTACATGAAAACAAACGAAAACAAGAGACAAACAAAAAGCAAGAGAAAAAACAGCCCAGAAAGGAGGGAAAAGGACCAGTATTGTGTCGGAATGTGCCTTTCCCTTGCAGAGGGGGGAGAGACGCGGGTGTGTCGGGCAGCGCAGATCTTCATCTCCAGACAGTGCCTGGGAGAAGCTAGCCTTCGGCAGGCCGCACCCAGAGCGGCTCAGAGCAGGGGTCGGGAACCGCGGTCGGGGCGGGTCCGAGCCTCCGGATGGAGGCGTGTGCGGGGCGCGTCCCCCCCGCGCTGCGCTTGGTGCGCTCCAGGGCGGTCCCCGCGCGCGGGCCCGGGAGCCGCGGGGAGGCGGGGCGCAGGGCGGCGGCCGCTTAGTCTGCACCATGGCCTACCCGGGGCACCCAGGCGCCGGCGCCGGCGGCTACTACCCTGGCGGGGTAAGTGCTGCCCCCGGCGACTCGCGACCCGAAGTCACGCTTGGCCTCTCCGAGATGCCACCTTGGGGGACGCGCCGGGGCCACCTTCCCCTGCCCCACTCCTGGCTGCCTCCTCCCACCCCACCCTACCCTGCACGCCCTGACTTTGGGCCGCTTTTCCTGGACTCCTTCCTGCTTTTTTGGTCCTTCTGCACCCCCACCCCCACCCCCACCCCAAAGCCGGCACCCTAGAAGGCAACGGGGGAGGAGGGAGGGCTGGGAGCATAGTGTTAGGTCCGCGGAACCGCGCCCCGGTGACGCTTGAGGACGCGGCATGCGATGGTGGAAATTAGGTGTTGACTTCCTCCTGCGGGTTTCCCCCTCGCCAGAGCCATTTTCTTCGAGAATGGTCCAGAGATCAGCCTCTTGCCCCGGAAAAAGAAGCGGGCGGAGGGGGAGCCCGAAAAAAGATCGGACAGAGGAAAAGAGGGAGCCCCACCTTGCCCGCCTGGCAGGCATCTGGGATGCGAGTCCTCCTGGGAAACTCCAAGTGGGAATGTTCCCCCGCCCAGTGTCACCGCCCTGTAGTCCCTGGGCTACACTTGCTCCTATACTTCTGTTTAACACCAGTTCTCCGTGGCTTCTAGAACACGTTACAAACCCCTCAACCGTTATCAATGAATGAATCGACGCAAGAACAGCTCCGAACTTGCTTGCCGGGGTAGCACCGACCCCAGTGACCACGCCTTAACAAATTATCTTAAAAGGCCTTCGCTAAGGACATGTCACTGTCAGTACAACTCATGGATGTTAAGCCTGTGCCCTACCACATGCAGTAGTTTGTGCTACTTCCCTGGTGCCTGTTTTTTAAAAAAGAGGCAAAGTGAGTGGGAGCATTGCTCTTCTCTGGCCCAGGTGGGTAGTGGGGAATGATGTGGAATTGGCTGACTTTGTCCACAGGCACTGCATAGTCAAAGCTTGATTTGGAGAAATGAGATATGTCTGTTTTCTGTTTCACAGTATGGAGGGGCTCCCGGAGGGCCTGCGTTTCCTGGCCAAACTCAGGATCCGCTCTATGGTTACTTTGCTGCTGTTGCTGGACAGGTGAGGTTTGCCCTCTGACAGTTGGTGGGATTACACACTTATATTGGCTTTTGTTACAGGAGCAGGAGAGAAAGAGCTTTGTTCTGTTGCTTCTAGGAGAGAACAACGGGATAGAAGGCAATTTAGCAGTAAGACAGGCAAAATGTACCATGTACTTGTGTCCATTCAGTTCAAACCAAAACTTGTGGTTGAGTTGAGGGTGAGAGTTTGGAACAGCAGAGGGACTCTAAATATACTTTAAAGGTAAAACCACCATCTTCAGAACTATGAATTGACTGTATCCAGGGTGGTTTCCAGAGAAAATAAAGTTTTTTCCAGAGAAAGTTTTGAACATAAACCCCTTTTCTGACTCCTTAAAGACATATATAGTTGGGGGCGGGGGAGCGGTAGCACAGTGGGTAGGGCATTTGCCTTGCATGCGGCCAACCCGGGTTCGATTCCCAGCATCCTATATGGTCCCCGAGCAGCGCCAGGAGTAATTCCTGAGTGCATGAGCCAGGAGTAACCCCTGTGCATCACCGGGTGTGACCCAAAAAGCAAAAAAAAAAAAAAAAAAAAAAAAAAAAGACGTGCACCAGTAACATATAGCTAGATTCTAAAAGAGATACTTTCTCTATTGAATTTTATTGTTAATCCTTAGAGCTTATGCTAAAAATCCACTTTGCTTAAAAAAAATAAACTGCTACTTACTCCAATTATCAGGAGGTTAAGCTGTGCACAGTTTAGTTTCACTTTGATGCAAAACCTATTAGTGGGCAGCTGTTCTATGTTTCTATAAAGTATTGTGGGTGGTTGACCACTAGAGAGAATAAAGGTCAACCACCCCCACCCACTGTAGTTGTATGACAGGTGTACTGCCATCTTCAGAGGATACTTTCCCTGCTCATGAGGTCACTTTGTATCCAGGATGTATCCAAGGAGAACATTTGCTCTCACTCGGGTTCACTTTGTTGATGAAAAACTAGAAATAACAAAATCCTTAAGTAAAATTGCTCTCCATTGGACCAAAGAATCCAAGACTCCTTTTTTAAATTAAAGTAACACCATAAAAAAGTTTGAGAACCTGAGTGGAAAATTTAGTCTAAACCTGAAAAGAGCTTCCCCTTAAGTATCTGCCTAATCTGTTGATGATTTGTATCTTTGAAACCTATTGCCTCTTGGACTCTTAGATTGCCACTGCCTTCGGGGTGTAAGTGACCCTGCCTCCTTAGCTTTCAGCAGCCTTAGCTGGCTGTAGCATATCCATTGTCTTTCACATTATTGATCCTGCTCCTCATCTCGAATTTACGATGCCCATGGGCTTGAGGAATAGAGTAATTTTGCTTTAAAATCATTAACAATGACATGCATCTAGTTCCTACCTTGGTCAGCTAATGAATAGGTGCCAGGGACCTGTTATTTTCAAACTATGATTGTGGTCTGTGGAAACCATTCACATTTGATAAAAGGTGAGCAGGGCTCGAAAGATAGTACCAGGAGTAAGAAGGCACATGCCCTGTGTGCAGCTGACCATGGATTGCAGCTATGTCGTCGCTCTGAACATTGTTGATTGTATTCCTTGAGTACTACTTGGTTTGACACTGTGCCTTTTGGCTAAGAATCCCTGGGAAGGACTTCTAGACCTCCTGTGCTCCGTGATTACTCCTCACACCTCACTCAGGAATCACTCCTGGCAGGCTCAGGGGACCATGTGGGATTCTGGGGATTGAACCTGGGTCAGCCACATGGCAAGACCAGCACCAGTGCTGCTGTCCCATCTCTCCAGCACCAGGAAAATGATTTTTAAGCAACTACATAATTTTAGTTTTAAATGTTTGACAGTTTCCTACTTCAGGCAGAAGAATAGTATATGATAGAAAGTGTTCTTGGAACTGAAGAGATAGTGCAGCAGGTAGGGTTCTTGCCTTGTACATGGCCAACCTGGGTTCCATCCTTGACACCCCATATACTTCCCTGAGCCCTGCCAAGCGCGAGCTCTACTGAGCGTTGCCCCAAAGCAAAACAACAACAAAAAAACTAATTTTCTCCCAAAGTTAAACATATCATGAATGGTGGGAAAGAAACTGTATTTACCTGAGTATTTGATTAAAAGAGAAACCTTTATGCTTGAGAGTGTCCATGCCAAGTCCAAATTTATGAGCTTAAAATGATGGAAAGATTTTTGAATTGCTAAACTAGAACTCTCAAGCTCGCTTGGCCTACCTGCCCTTTCAGAAAAGAATCAAGGGAATCTGCCTTCTAAATGAGCAAAAACAGCAACCCCCTATTGCACTGAAGACTACTACAACACCCTGTCCAACCTCCCGTCCAGCGCCCCTCAAGCAGTGATATCACCCACTGTGGAAAACACTGTATTAGAACATAGGTGTAAGCAGCTTTTAGACTTTCTTGATTATGTTTAATTAATTTTACAAGGAGTTTACAAGGAACGTCTGGGAGAATTGAATTCCCACTTTACTTGTAGATTAAAAGATGTACTTTTTAATTTGTGATCACAATTATTCACTGTAGAAGAAGTCTTAACACAAGTCTTAAATTTGTCTTTCATCCTTTGTTTTTGAAAGTAGAGAGGAAAAGAATGCCTACTTTTAAGTGGCGGGAATCTATAAGTGCTTCATACAAAATAGTATTCATTTTATTATTGTAATTGCTGCAGTGACTTCTGGAAGTAAATAAAGATCTAAAAAGTCTTTTACCGTTTTTTTTCCCCCCGAAAGGATGGACAAATTGATGCAGATGAATTGCAGAGATGCCTGACCCAGTCGGGCATTGCAGGCGGATACAAACGTAAGTGGACAGTGTATGAGTTTCTCCAAAAGAAACTTCTGAATTATTTTCTGTCATTTTTATTTATTTATTCTAATATTGTAAGGTTGGCTTTCTGCACTGCATGTTTTAGGAGTACAGGCCCACACCTCTTCAAATGTGTCACCATGTCATTGTGTCACCCGCACCCTAGTATCAGTTACCTTCTTCCAGTGAACCTTCCCCCTTGTCACTCCACCCCTGCCACCACCCTTTGGTAACCTCAGTCCTGCAGCCAGAATGCAAGGATTTGGATTGGGGTTTTGCGCTTTTGCTTGGTGTCCAATATTACATATTTGCGTGAATTCATCTTCTCATATTTGTCATGTTGTTCTGACTTATTTTACTTGATATAATCTCTACCCACTCAATTCATGTTGTTGCCAGTGGCAAATTTTATTGTGGGTGGGCTTGAGCCATACCCTGTGGTGCTCAGAGATCACTCCTAGTGTGCTCAAGGACCATATGTGGTGCTGGGACTAAACCAGGATTGGCCATGTGCAAGGCAAACTTCTTCGCTGTTGTACTATTTCTCTGACCCAAGATTTCATTTTTTTTAATAGCTAATACTCCTGTGTCTCTTTTATCCAGTTATTCATTGTTGGGCTTAGGTTGTTTCCTAATTTTTTTAGGTTGTTTCTATAATTTGTTGATAATAAATGAAAGTTTGGGGCTGGAGAGATAGTACAGAAGATAAGTCACTTGCCTTACATGCAGCTGATCCTGGTTCAGATCTTCAGAGCCGCATATCATCACCTGATCAGCACCAGGAGTCACTCCCTTTGTTTTGTTTTGGGGGCCACACTCAGTGATGCTTAGGACATACTCCTGGCTCTGTGCTCAGGGATCATTCCTGGTGAAGCTTAGGGTATCATATGGGATTCCAGGGATCTGACCTTGGATGAAAGGCAAGTGCTCTACCTACTATACCCGAGCACAGAGCCAGGAATAGTCCCCGGCACTAAGTGTGGCCCCAGAACAAATAAAAGTGCTATAATGAACATAGGAGAGCCTGTCTTTTCTAATTAAATAGGTACCTTTATACTTTGAGGTGTATCTGTATCTAAATATTGAAACAGAATGGAATTACTGAATTTTTAAAAATATTTTGAGAATTCTCCATTCTGCTTTCCGGGCTGTACCAGTTTTCATTCCTGCCATCTGTGTATATTGGTTCCTTTTTCTCCAAAAGTATTCCTGCGTTTGAGTATTTTGGTTGTTACTTGTGATTATAGCTTTCAAAACACCAGATTTTCTCATCTAGTAAAGAATTTCAAAAGCTGGATCTTGGGAACTCGTATGATATATAGGGGTGCGTGGGCCCCAGTTCATTCTCCAGCACTGCATGCCCCCACCCAGCACTGACAACTGTTAAGTCGAAAAGTTTTTTTGTTTGTTTTTTTTTTTAAGTAGCTTGTGGTTTATTAGAAGGTGCAGAGAAGACAGTCAACATCGCAGGTGGTGAAAATTATAGTTCTGAGCAAGGTATAGGACTCTGGAATGAAAACAGTTCTTAATAAATCAGTCCACACCAGCCACAAGCTTAGTAGGGTTCTTTTTGTTCTCTGTGTGTCTAGGCTAGTGAACCGATAAGACCACTTGTGTGGCCTCCTTCCCTGGTAGGACTTACGGTGCCGAAACGAAATCCGCCAGGTCGGGTGTCCTCAGTGAGAGAGCTAACTTGCATTACTGTTTACCAAAAGCTGCCTCCGTCCTGAGCCAGGTGTTACTTAGGGTTTTGAGTTGCTGGCCTCATGTGCTGGTTCCCATCCCACCAGCCTGCAAGTGCCCTTTGGGCCCTGCGCTCAGCCTGGCCTCAGGATTCTGACTGAGGCAATGCTCACTGTGACACCCACCACCCCCGAGTTTCTTGCCCCTTTCTACATATCTCCACAGGAAACTTGGAGGAATATCCCCTTTCTGAATTTGTTACTATCTGCCACCTCAGTTCCTCATGCACTGTACTAACTGCCTGTTAACATTCGCACCTCTTCCTGCCTTTGATCTCCTGGAACTGAAACTGGAGCTGAGGAACCTTTGCAAAGACCCTGTGTTCTGACTGGGAGCTTTACACACACACACAAATGCGCGCGCACACACACACCATGCTTTTCCTACACACATACACATACACATACACACACACACACACACACACACACACACACACACACACACACACCCATGCTACGGGCATCTTTTCCCCCAGGACAAATATCTAAGATAGAGAATCCTGTCAGCTCAGATACTTTGTCTACCAATTTTTTTGCCAGGTGTTAGTCAAGATAGAATAGTAAATCAAAGTCCCAATTCTCGGGCCACACTCAAACTAGATTTCCCACCTGAGCATTTCTAGTGACAATTTTTAACATGGAGGGGAGGATGGAGAAGAAAAGGGTTTGAACCACAGCTGGTGGTACTTGGGCTATTCCTGGTTATGACATCAGGTATTAAACAAGGAACAAAGACTGGTGCATGCAAGGCAAAAGGCAAGAGCCTTAACCCTTGTACTATCATTCTGGCCCTGCTAGTGGCTTTTTTATTTATTTGTTTTTGACAGGCATAGCATGTACACTACATTATTTTTTTAAAAAAATTACATTTTTATTTTAGATATCTTACTAATATTTCCTTGTTTGGGAAAGGAGGAAACAGTTTTGTGTTTCTTTTGTTTAATCTACTCCTAAACAAAGCAGCACGTTTTAGATTGGATGTTTTCCCCCCTTGTATAGTTGCAGGCACTATATTTAAATTATTCATAATTAAAATTCCAGCAACTGGAGCTATGGACAGATGTCTGAGAAGGTTTATAAGCGTGAGTGAAGTCACAACAGAGACTATTCTTCGTGTACCCTTTCAGTGGAATGACAGGTTATTAAATTGGGCTTAAAAATGGCTCGTATAATTTTGAAGAGCAGATTTTGTAAAACTTGCATTGGAGGAAGTCACATTTAGGCCTGGTCTGAGATCTCTGGGTTATAGAGAAGCTATTCCTGAGTCATCAGGAGCAGGTGATGGAATTCACAAGCTTGCTGTCACATGCTTGTGGTGGCAGTAAGAGGCACTCCACCCCTCACTGATGAGGTGTCACAGGGAATTTTGTAGTACAAAAATGACATAATCATTGGTCTCCTAAACCAGCAACCAAATACCATTTGGTGGCTGGGGGTCCAGTCCTATAGGCACCTCCCTTTTTGTTGTTACTGTTATTTTCTAGTCATAGATCTTTTGTTTTTGTGTTATAAATTTTATTTTAGTCTGATTTATAGTACTGTCAGTGATAGGTTTCATGCGTACAGCGTTCTCACACTACACCACCCTCACCATTATCTTCTCCATCATTTTCTCGGGCTTTTGCCCACTCAGCCCCCTGACCCCCTCGCTGTGGTAACTTCAGTTCTGTAATCCAGTTCTTGGATTCTATTGTCTTTGGGCATTTGTTGTTCCCTTACTATGTATCTTTATATTCCATAGTTGAGAAAGACGGTTCTGTATCTATCTCTCTCCCTCTCACCATCTTCACTCTACATGATACCGACCAGGTTATGGGCATCTGCTTAACCATTTTTACACGAAGCAGCCATTCCTAGAGGTGGGGAGTGAGGGACTCTATTCTTGTATAAGGCAGTAATTCAGCTTTTTTTTTTGTCCTTCAGTGTAATTGTCCCTCTGGGATAAGGTCGAGAGAAGATACTGGAGATCTTTTCCTGCCAGGCCTACTTCTCACAGATTTCTCCTAGGAGAGAAGGTGTTTGAGGCTTTCTAATGAAATGAACAGAGAAGAGATCTAGAGAATAAGGGAAAAATTATAACAGCATCTTTGAAAATTTTAAAGTAGACTTAGCTTTAATAAAAGCTATTTATGGGAGAAAAATACAGTTAAAATTGAGCAAGCATCTCTTACTCTCTCTCCCCTTCCACCCCCTGCCTAGTGATATTGGCTTTGTGTTCAGGGATCACTCCTGGCAGTGCTTGGGTACCATATGCAGTGCTAGGGGTCAAGCCATAGTCAACCGCGTGTAAGGCAAGCACTTCACCCCCTGTGCTCTCTCTCCAGGTTCTCATTTCTTTTTATCACTGAATTATATTCCACAGTCTGGATTTGCTTATTCATTCACCTACCCGGGAACAGAAAATAAATAATACTGAGCAAGGGTTTTCCTCACAGAAACATGTTCAGTGAGACTGGAATGATGAGTTTTCTCTTTGGTCATTTTGGTTTACCGCTCTTTTCATTACCTTCCCCTGGAATCCCTCTCAGAAAAGACCAGATTTCTGTTCCCCTGACACAAGTTCTAACTGTCACTCTTCTCCAATGATCTTAAGTTTCTCTTTAGTGTCCATAAAACAAAAAGGGAAATAGCTTAGCAGGAAATCAATCTCCTCTGGAGTGGAGCTTCTTAAAACAGTCCTTCCATTTCTTTTGCTTGCTTTGAATTGCACTTTCCTGCTTCTCTTAATTTTGCAGTGGGGTGAGGTGGGAGAGCAGACCCAGCAGTGCTCAGGGGCGAGCCCGGGCTCTGTGCTCACGAGTGACCCCTGGCAGTGCCTGTGGGTGGGAGGCAGAGATTTCTGATGATGTATATATGCTGAACACAGGAATCTTCCAAGTAGAAAATCTAAGGTTTATACTCTCTGGAGTTGTTACAATAATGAGTTAGTTTAATATTATCTAAAATGTAGTTTGGATGGAGAAAACAAATAAACTAGAAAGAAGGTTCATTTTATATACATCTCAACAAACCACACAGAATTTATTTTAAGTTTTGTCATTCTGTTTACCCTTAACAACTTTTGGTATCTATGTAATATTTCTTCAAAGGAATTCCTGTCAACACTATGTAAGATGCAAGGACATATTTGTTTCTGATTTTCCATTGCTTGGGTAGGATGGTAATAGATCATTAACCAATGGATATAGTCTTGTTTCTGAGTTACAGAAATGCCCACTGACTGCTTTCAAGTTACAGGAGAACTAGAAGGTTCTGAATAGTGGCCAGTGCTGAATTGGTCAGGGGGCTTATTCCAGGATGCTCTTATTTAACACCAGTTCTCACCATCATATTTATCATCGCATCATCACGATTATCATATTTCATATATTAAGCTTACTGGGATGGAGCAATAGCACAGTGGGTAGGGCGTTTGCCTTGCACGAGGCTGACTCAGGTTCGATTCCTCAGTCCCTCTCAGAGAGCTTGGCAAGCTACCGAGAGTATCCCACCGCCCGCACAGCAGAGCCTTGCAAGCTCCCTGTGGCGTATTCAATATGCTAAAAACAGTAACAAGTCTCAAAATGGAGATGTTACCGGTGTCCGCTTGAGCAAATTGATGAACAGTGGGAGGACAGTGCTACAATAGAGGCCCTAGGCTTCCTGAAATGGGTTACCACTCTGTTTCTGCCATCATAGTGAAAAGAAAAATGATTACACACCAAGTGAGCAGAAACAGCTCTATTCAGTTGTGAGCAGGAAGTGTTCCTCTACCTTCTCACTCCTGTGGTGGATAAGTAGCATATGGTTTGTTATGGTGAATTGATATTACTGTATTACCCTTTGAAAGGCAAGACAATACTTTAGAGTACATTATAGGGCCTGAGTATGGAGCACTAGGTCTCATTCTCAGCATTACTGAATGTGGGAATATAATTTCCACAATAATAGGGAAGATAACAACTTTTTCTGAAAGAGTATCACGGATCACGGTCCTCCCGTTGTTCATCAATTTGCTCGAGCGGGCCCAGTAACATCTCCATCGTGAGACTTGTTACTGTGTTTGGCATATCAAATACATCACGGGTAGCTTGCCAGGCTTTGCCATGTGGGCAAGATACTCTCATAGCTTGCAGGGCTCTCCGAGAGGGGCGGAGGACTTGAACTTGGGTCGGCCATATTGGCTGCTTGCAAGGCAAATGCCCTACCGCTGTGCTCTCGCTCCAGCCCAGCGGTAGGGCGTTTGCCTTACAAGCCGCCAACATGGCTGACCTGAGTTCGATTCTAAAAGAGTATATTACGAAAATGCTAATCTCGCCCAAGAATAAAGATACTTAGTGAACTCCCATTGCTGGGCTTTCAGTGATGGTCAGTGTGTTACCATTTTTGTTTTACTTCTAGGCCTGCCCAGTCCTTTTTTTTTTTTTGAGAAAATTTTAGATATCATCCATTTTATCTACAAATAATTTCCACACATATTTTCCTAAACAGAAACTTTTTTTTCTCAAAGTCAAAATTACAGTCAGGCCTAAAAAATATTAACAGTACAATGCTGTATAAATTACCAGTAAAATGCAATACTGAAAAATATTTCTTTTTAAGTTGGAAAAACTTTTAAAATCAAATTTGGATTCTAGTAGGTATTTTCTCAGGGAAAAAATATACTGAAAAGTGTGATAAGTTTATTTTCACATAAAATGAGTAGCATTAAATATTAAAATATATAAATGGTTTCATGTATAAACATTTTCTATACTTATATGTAACCAGTATAACAAGACTTTTGAAACTACAAATTGTATTAATATGTTGCACTTTTTTCTAACAGCTTTTAACCTGGAGACTTGTCGGCTGATGGTTTCAATGCTGGATGTATCCTTTACCATATTTACTGCTGAGAGGTCTTTTCCTTGACCAAAAATTAGTCCCTAAAGGTTGTCATTGAGCAATACTCAGTACACACAAAGTAAGGAGTAGCTATAAATTTTTTTCGGAAATAATTATTTTTTAAGATGCAACTTGAAATGGAAAAGGAAGAAGTATTGACAAACAATGTAATTTATTAAGAATCCAAAAAGCCATCAGGGAGAACAAATGCAGAAGCCAAGAGTATCAAAGAGGGAGCTTTTTCCTTGAATATTGGTTGCTCCATGTGATTTGCCTGACCTGGAAGTAATGAAGTTTTTCACATGATTGTGGCTGAACTCAGGTTGGCAAGTGCTTCCCTGGAATACCTGATATCCCACATCATTTTCCAGAAAAATTTATCTGGAAGGCAATAAGCCTAGGGAGTGTTAGACCCAAAGAGGATCCCAGGACACAGGGTAGAGCAGCACAGCCTCGAAACCCTGAAAGTACAGTGCAGTTCCTGTAACTGTACTGCCTTATTAGTTCCCTGTCACTACATCCTAGAGATTGACTCTTTTCCAGAGTACGTAGAGCTTCTTCTGCATAGGACATCAGGATTATATCATTAATTTATCACTTTACTATTTCATGCCAAGAGGAACATAAAATTTTTGGACCTTTTTCATCTGAAATATTAAATTCCTTTATCCTTGATCTTTGACTTCCTCATTAGAAAATGTTTCAAAGGAAAGCGGCTCTAATCCTTGATTATACTTCAGAGAGATATGTCGGGCACAATGGGTTTCAGTGAGTTTAAGGAGCTCTGGGCTGTACTGAATGGCTGGCGACAGCACTTCATCAGCTTTGACAGTGATAGAAGTGGAACCGTGGATCCTCAGGAATTGCAGAAGGCACTGACCACAATGGGTAAGGATCTTTAGAACCGTCTATTCATTATGTTTCTTTTTTTTAGTTTCTAAAAGTAGATGCAATATGATAATGATTTATTCTATAAAGAAGGTTCATAATTAAAGCGAGTGCTCAGTTTTAAAAACTGTTCTTGATTATTTTTAGTGGTTTTTCTGCGATTCTTTTAACTTTTGCTGGGTTATTTTTCTTCCAGGATTTAGGTTGAGTCCCCAGGCTGTTAATTCAATTGCAAAACGATACAGCACCAATGGAAAGATCACCTTTGATGACTACATTGCCTGCTGTGTCAAACTTCGAGCACTAACAGGTGTGGTCTTTGTGATCTTGTCACCACAGGCCGAGAAAATATGATTTCTCACAGCTCTTCTGAGTTTTAATTGTTCTGTTCTTTATTTTAACTTCAGTATCCTGTTAATATTATTAAACATTTCTAACAAAATAGTATTTCTAACAGAATAAGTCTGCTTTTAGCAAGAATTATGTCATTAGAATTTTCCTAAGTAGAACTGGAGAGAGAGCTCTCAAAGGGTTGAGTGCATGCTTTGCATGCAGGAAATCCGGGTTCAATCCCTTGGACCACATGGGGATGTCTCCCTCCTGGATATGCTCCCTACCCTTCTAAAAAATCCTAACTATATGTTCCAAATTATAGTAAGCATATAAGTAGGTTTTTTTTTTCATCAGAATGAGCAGGTGTATGACTTTCCCCTAATATGTGAAGTAATTTAAAAGAGTAGAATTATTGAGTTGTGTAGCTCTCTTTTCTAAATTCCTCTTATTGGAAAATAATTAAAAATTGTGGTCCTTATTCTGACTTTTCTTAAACGAAGCTGCTTTAATAACATGACTTTTTTTCATGCCTTCTGTTTATATTTTTATTCCTTGCACAGTTTTTTTTTAATTCTCTTCTATGTCTGATCTTATAATATCTTTGCATCCTGAAAAATATTTGAGGACAGAGCTTAGATGTTTAGGGTATTTGATCATAGTTCATTTCTTTTATCATATTGGGATTCCATCCATTTACTTCCTAATTAAATATTATTTATGTTTTTAAGAAGTTTGAAACTCTGGATTTTGATCACAATTATGTATTGGTTTTGGAAGATGTGTGGCTTTTCCTATCTTTGTTTTCTTCCGGCTCCACATAATTAAAGAATTGGGCAATTTGTACATCATTACTTATTTATTGCCTGTTAACGCTATTTGTATGATTGACTTATTTGCTTTTATCTTCTTTATGTTTGCTGTGTGATTTAAATTTTAGCATAATTTGAATCCAGTGCCAAGATAATTAGTTGAGTTGTTCAGATGAGTTGTTTTAAAAGACCCATAAATTGTGCTGTGTTGTTTTACAGACAGCTTTCGAAGACGAGATACTACACAGCAAGGTGTCGTGAATTTCCCATATGATGATGTAAGTCTCAGTTAATGAAAAACTACACAGGCAAGATAGACACCGAGTGGGCATCTTTGTTGAAGTTAGCTCATAAGAGGACATCTCAGGGATGACAGTGTAATCAGGATTTATATTGTCAAAAGGATCCAGACTATCCATTTTATGTTTATCAAAACCGTTCAGAATATTCATTTCTGTATTGTTGTTTTATCCAGGCACTGTTTGACATGCATTACAAACCTGGGTCAAACCCAGCTCATTCCACATACTAGCTGAGTCATTTTGGCAAATGTCTTCATTGCTCTGAGACTGAGGAAAGAGGATGCAGTAATAAAGCCTTCCTCTCTGGCTATTGGGAGATTTCAGATGTATTGTTTCACAACATATCATGCATTGCTGTGCTTGTTTTTGTCTTTCAACAAGTCATTTGAGAGCAGCTCTGAAGCTCATGGCTGTGCCGGGCACACATTTTTTATTGAGAACCCAGAGATCCACATAAGTCACAGTTCAAAAACATGTCTCTTCTAAAGAGGTAAAAGGGCCACTTAAGAGATACTTAAAACTCTTGACCCTAAGATTCCTTTTCTGTGAAGAGATGATGGCCAACTTGCAGGAATGCTGCCAGGATCAGCAGTGCTGAGTGCCTCTCTGGTAGGAAGAGAAAGGAAAGTGATTGGAAACGCAGAGTCTACAGTTTCATTTGTGGTAAAGCACATATCACCGCTAATACTGCGGCTGGAAAGATAGTGCAGTGGGCAGGGTGCTTGCCTTGCACATGGCTGACCCGGTTCAATCCCCAGTAACCCATATGGTCCCCTTAGTCCTACCAGGAGTGCTCTTTGAGTGCAGAGCCAGGTGTGACCCACAAAAGTACAGCAATACTGCTTCAAATCACGGGTTCCTAAATTAGAGAGGAAGGTTCAGTTGTTCTCCTTTCTGTGCACACATATTTTGGCTCTCCAGGATTAGTTTTAAGAAAATAATTTTTTTTTCAAAACTAAACTGTTTAAAAGGTGCACTTTACACCAAGCAGTAACATGGGGGATGAGGCACTTTGCTTCTGTGTGCTCACCCTGGCTGGATCCCAACTGTCAAGCACAGACCATCCAGAAAAAAAAAATTATTAAAAAAATAAATAAAGGTAGAGTTTTGCAAGTTCCTAATAATATTTAAAAACCTGACTTCTATTTGTATGTGGGCAAAGATTTTTTTTTTAATAATTTATTTCTTTATTGAATCACTGTGGGAAAAGTTACAGAGCTTTCGGATTTAGGTCTCAGTCATATAAGTATCAAACACATTTCCCTTTACCAATACTTATTTTTAACCGTGAACCCCAATAGAACCCTACCTCCCACCCCTCCCAATTCCTGTGTGGCAGATGAGTTCTAGTTAATACTCTATCTACTTTGACTAGATACATTGTTTTGATAGAAGATGCACAATTATTGTTTAGAGTTTATGACCCCCCCCCCATCAGATATGCTGAAACAGCGTTGTGAAATGATTTGCTTTCTACAGCTTGGTTTAAGAATAAAATGATGTCGCGCGGCCACGATAGCAGCCACGTGGTTTTGGATTTCTGCTGTTTTACTTATTAACCCTGGAAGTATTTCTATTAAAAGTTAAATAGTTAAGAGATTGGTTTCTGTGCTCTGGAGAGCCGCTCGTGGGGGGCAGCTGGTGACCTCGGTTGGGCGTGAAGGACGGCCCACAACGCCCCCCTTCCCATGAGGCCCCTGCCACCCCCCGACCCCGGCTCAAACCTGCTGTCCACAGGGCTCCTGTGGGGCCGCCATCTTTCTTTGCAGAGAGGAGCGGGCAAGCGGGACAACACCCTTTCCCCTCCGGGCAGGCATACTGGCATGGTTTAACACATAGTCCATTTGCTTTTCTGCTCCAAGCAGGTGGCTCTCTGTGCTAAGTCCTTGTGCCTCCGGGGCCGTGGCCGTGCCGGAGAGGGCAAAGATTTTTGAACGTGACTATTTCTAGTTTGAAGTATTTGGAATTTGTATATGATATTATGTATGTGTGTAAGGCTGGAGCGATAGCACAGCGGTAGGGCATTTGCCTTGCACGCAGCCAATATGGACAACCCAAGTTCGAGTCCCCCGCCCCTCTTAGAGAGCCCGGCAAGCTACCGAGAATACCTCACCAGCTCGGCAGAGCCTGGCAAGCTACCCGTGAACGTATTTGATATGCCAAACACAGTAACAAGTGTCACAATGGAGACGTTACTGGGCCCGCTCGAGCAAATTGATGAACAACGGGAGGACCGAGATTATGTGTGTGTGGTGTATGTGTATATATATATATGTATGTGTGTGTATATTTGTGTATATATATGTGTATGTATATGAGTGTGTATGTACACATATATTTATATTTGTTTTGCTTTTTTGGATGACACCCAGTTGAGTTAGGCCTTAGTCTTGGTTCTGCATTCAGGGATCACTCCTGGTAGACTCAGGGAACCATTTGGGATGTTGGGGGTGGAAGCTAGGTTAGCTAGTAACACTGTACTGTCACTCCAGCCCCTAAATCTGTATGTTTCTGTCTTGTTTTTATTGACAAATATTAGCTCACAAGACTGTTTTAAGGGTACTGTTTAGTGTTTCTTCAAAATGTATGTTACATCAATATTAAACCCTAAAAGGAATTTAAGGGATCCTTTGGCTAAAGAATTTCATATCCTAAAACAATCTTATAAGCTAACATTACATCAATAAACACAAGACATAATATACAGATCTCAGTGAGAGTAATAATAAAAGCGGGTAGGGTGCTTGCCTTACACACAGCTGACCCAGATTTGATATGAAAAACCTTTTGTATTTACTTAGCAGTTACTAGACTGATTCCCTCAAAACACAAACCTTTCCACATGTCATTCATTTTAATCTTAAAAAGGAAATTTTGGGATCCATAATTCATTTTAATTACAAAAATATGATTTCCCCCATATAACCAGATGTGTGAGTCTCTGATGTCCACAGGTTAATGCTGGCTTTTCTCTCTTCCAGTTCATTCAGTGTGTGATGAGCGTTTAAGCAGAGAAGCTGAATGATCTCAATCAACATTCGAACTCAAGTTTTCTTCTGCTTTGCTCGCTGCCTTCCACAGTGCATAGAAACTTCAGTCACCAAGCTTCAGTAACAGCTGTTATAAAGGCCTATTAACTTTGTGTACGACTGAAGTTTGGGTTTAAGTTTTGATAATAAATTCTTTGGAGTTTTAATAATATCAGAACCATTGCCACCATTCAGACTTCCTTGTGTCTTGCTAAGCGCCTTGTATGTAAATTAAAGTATGCACGTTTCAGGTGTGTTCTGTATTATTCATTGTGGGAGAGATACTAAAACCTTGTCACTAAAAGACTACAACTGTTGTCTCTCCTAGATGGACATTTACATATCATTGAAAGGTTGATGTGTGTTATCAGCAATTAAATGGTTTAAACACACTTGAATGCAAAAAAAAAAAAAGAAAAACTTGCCCATGATAATTCTTGACAGAATATACTGGAGTGGCTTAATGATTTACAGATAATTTGTTGATGGTGTGAATGACAGAAAACCTAATTATTTTCTGCCTTTTGAAAACCTGTAGAATAATTTGAGTGGTAAATACTGCCTCCAAGTTTCTTTTGTTATCACTTGCCACTTTCAAAAACTTTTGTGCATGAGTTTTGTGATGTAAAGGAGAAAGTTGATAGGAAAAGACCCAGATGATAGGACATTACTGACTATGGCTATTTTTGGCTAATGGAATTCTCAGTGATTTTCTTTAGACATTTAAATATTCTCCAAGTGTTCTATCATATGTATACTTTCATTTTAAATCAGGAATCAAACTTGTAAAATACTGAAGTTTCTGGTTTGATATGCCAGTGTGTTCACACCTAAAATTCAGACTTGGCAGAACCAGGAAGAATGCTCAGCAGGATGAAGTGTGAGCACTGCATATATGAGGCAGGCCCCAAATCTGACACTTGAGCAGAATCAGGGGGAACCCTGGTGGCCCCCAGCACCCAGCCATCAAGCCTCCCACCTAACTGGACTACATATTTCAGAGAGGGGTCCCCAAGCACTGTTGGGGGAAGGAAAGGAAGCACTCCCCTGCTTCCCCGCCTTACCCCCGCCCGCGCCCCCCCCCCCCCCGCATCCAGCTAGATTATGTATAGTAAGGCAGGGTACCCAAGTTCTGATATATATATAGACAGAGACAGAGACTGGAAAGAAAATGTTGGCATTTCTGTCACTGGGAGTCTAGCTCATTTTCTTTCTTCCTACTACTTTTCCAAATAGTTCCTAAGAAGTTTCACAGAATAAAAGTTAAAAATATATTTTTAACCATGTCTTTTAGGATCTGACTTAAAATGCTGGTCATGCGCTTTATTACATAGGTGGCTTGATCAATTTAGATGTACTCAGCCTGTTAGCCTGTTTCCCTATCTTGGAATAGGTGATAATCCACATGGGATAGTTGTGGATATGAATGGTTGCTGCATAATAGGCATTGGTATTTCTCTTCCCTACATTAAAACTGGCTTTTGTGTATCCCTAAGGGCCCCCAAGCACAACTTGGTGTGGCCCTAATGTTTCCTGACCCTGCAGGATCTGAGCAGCATCGCATCGCTGGGACTCACATCGAACCATCTGGCCACTGGGTCGAGAACTGCTGACTGGCCTCAGGAACCCTCAGCATTACTTCGGAGCCACCCACCGAAGAGATCAATAAAACTGGCCTGGTCTGCAAGATAACACATCAAACAGTATCAGTCTGTTTGCTCCTTCCCAGGAGAAAGCCTTATTGCAAGTTACTTTTCATATAATTATAAATATTTAAAAAAATTTATATCTGTGGCCTTTTTTATTCAAATGCTGCTAACCTATATTTATAGTCTTTTTGCAATTCTAACATGTTTACATAACAGGTGGTCACATGGAACTACATATCAAAATATGAGACAAGTTGCCTTATTTGGACTGAGTTTACTCCAGGCACCAGCTGCTCAGGGACTTCCGGATGAGGCCAGAGCTCATCTTCAGAGGCCCAGCACTTCGGTGGGCTTTGGCCTCGCCTCTGAGGCGAGCCCTGCTTCAAGGAACTGGCCATTGCCTGGGTGCCTATCAGTACAGCAGACAGCCTATGCTGACCCAAGGTTGATTTCCCTTCTCGAATTGATTTACTGTGGTTTACACTGTTCTGGATTTTTAGGGGCTTAGTCTCAAACCTCAGTATAGAGCTCTCCCCACGGTCCAGTGCCATCTTGCTGCCAGGAGCCCCTTCTGCTCATTCCTCTTCTTGCCCCTCTGCACTTACTCTCTGCTAACCACCGTGCTTTCACCAAGCATAGGAGTTTTTTTTTTTTTCACCATTTCATTTTCTTTATTCCTAGTGTATAGAGTGATACTGTCTGGTGATTGACTTCCTGCTTTTTTGTACTTGGTATAATCTTTTACTTAACCTCAAGAGGCATCTGTTTTGTCCTAAATAGCCTGTCTTTTTTAGTGGCAACTAAAGTAAGGTAATAATAACAGCTATGAACAGATAATGATAGAGTCCATAATAGTTTATGGACTATTTATACCATAGTTTTTTTAGCTGGTCATTTGTTGATGGACATTTAGGCTCATTCCATGTTTTGGTTACTGTGAATAATTCCGATAAGAATGTGAGGCACAAATAACCTTTCAAATTACTGTTTTCCTATTTGGGTAAATACCTAGCAATTCTATTGCTGTATTATATGGTATTTCCATCCAAATAGTTTTCTATAGAGACACCAATTTATATCCCCACCAATGTGTACTATGGCTTCTTTTCTCTCTGCATCCTAACCAAAACTTTATATATATATGTATATATATTTATATCTATGTATACATATATAAAATTTCCATTTGAGAGTAAGGATACAGCTTGTGGTTTTGATTTTCATTTCTATGAGCCCAATATTAACCATCCTGCTGTATCAACCCTGATTCTAAATTTGTTTGAAGTACTAAAATATTAACAAAATCACCTCTCTGGAAATAATTTTAATTATAAGGTTTCATAGCAAGTTGTCTTTTTTTTTCTTTTTATGTTTTTGAGCCATATCTGGCGATGCTCAGAGCTTATTTCCAGCTCTGCACTCAGAACTTATTACTGGTGGTACTCAGGCGGCCACATGAGATGTCAGGGATCTAGCGCAGATCATCTGCATGCAAGGCTGATGTTCTAGCTGCTGAACTACCACTCAGGGCACTTCATAGCAAGTCTTCTTAGCTTCCTCCAATTATACTTTCACTGATTCTTCCCAAAGATATGAAAGCTGCTTCGGGAATCATGAAAAGTGCAGGTGCAACAATATAACAAGTGCAAGTGCAATCAAGTACACTTAAAATCTATCCAAAGTCCAGTGTTTAACAATCAAATGCAGGTGAACCACTAAAATAAAGCATTGCCTCCTGGGCAGAATACCGGAAACTGGCCTTGAGAGGGTGAGGGAGAAAGACATGAGCCAAGACAGATGGCTAATTAAGAGGTGAATCAATCTGTCCCCCACTAAGGAAACTAACAAATTGAGCAATCAAGTTTTATTAAAGGATTCTTGTTCAGATGACCCTAGAAAAACATGGTTTTATTTCTAAGGATCCAGTTTATATAACACTCTACACTGACAGATGTGATCAAGAGAGGAGGTCGGTCGGCTGATGTCCTGGATACAGAACGTGCATGTATGAGAGTCCACACTAAATTTTACACAGATATTCTACAGCAACATGGGCTGGGGCTGCTGTCACCTTCCTCTTCCCTACTTTATTCAAAGGTCAACTATATTTCTCATCACTTCTCTTAAAACTGATAGTCCCTTCTTAATATCTTGGGACAGAAAAGAAAAAATCCCCCAACTGTAACACCACAAAGCTTCTGAAAGATCTCTTACAAAACACAGTACCCAAAAGAAGAGAGAGAGAACAAGGGGGAATACCCTGCCACAGAGGCAGGATGGGACGGGGGGGGGGGGGGATGAGGGGGGGGATGCTGGGACCCATGGGGATGGATGACGGGCACTGGTGGAGGTATGGGGACTTGATCATTGTATAGCTGAAACCCAAGCACAAAATTTGTAAGCCTATAACTGTACCTCATGGTTTTTCACTAATAAAAAAAAAAAATAAATAAAAAAAAAAAAAAAAAAAAAGCTTCTGAAAGAGAAATAGGGCTGCAAAGAGAAAATAGCATTGCGAGGACTCATGCATTTAAATAACATAAATCTTTTATTGAAAGTCACTTTACTGATGTTACAATGAGAGTAACATAGAAAACTGTGGTAACTTATTAGCTTCAGAAGTGAATACTAATAAAATTGTGCCAGAAATTTGAACCTCAAATTACAGTGACCTTTAAAAACAGCAAGATTTTTTTTACCTACAATGTAAGAACAATTTTATAACTTAAAAAGCCATAAAACAAATCACACTTGCTCAGGAAAGCAGTTGTCAAATACATGTCAGTTGGTGTTTGCCAATACCCAGTAATTTTTAAAACTAGCTTAAGAACCTGAAGTTCAGAGTAACAGTGAGAATATAAGGTTAAAATGATGCCAATCTAAGTATATACACATGATTACCAGGTTACCAAAAGTGAAACCGTGCTTTTATTAACACTTCTCCATGAAGTGGCTTCCACTATCTGGAGATGGGATGTCACCTTGGACAGATGATAAACTGGAAAACACTAGCGCACAACTACGCTGACTAACATATAAATTGCTATCGTCGGTAGAATGCCCAGTTCCTACATTTTGGGGATGCCAGATTGGAGAAGCAAGTCTCTTCTATCAAGTTAAAAAAACAGCACATGCTTAGTTAATAAACTTTTGTTAAGCACTTTTACAATTCATGGTTTTTTTTTAAAAAAAAAAACCTTTTCATACAAAACAAAGGTGTTGGGTCATTTTTTATCCATTGAAAAGACTGGTTGTAGAATCACAGTTTGATTTTGTGCTGGATTAGAAAAGAAAACTGGGGTTTCTAATCAGGCAGTGTTATACATCTATAATTTAGCAAGAACTCTTGTATTATTATTGAATAAATTATTAATTCATATCAGCACTTTCTGTATTGTGTTATCTGGAAAACTTAGCACCGCTATATTTAAAGATTTGGAGACTAGTTGGATTATTTTAAGAGTTTGGCCATGAAAAACATAAATCCATATCTGAAACTTCATAGAGGCTAAGCCCTCAAGTAAATGTAGATTGCTATTACATGTAATTTTTATGAGAAAACAAAATGCCCTTTTCTTAAGCTCTTTGAGAAATTTACTAGTGTTTTGATATGTACATTATCTTAAAATTGTTAATCTCATTGTATGCCTTTTTGTTAAAAAAAATAAAAAATAAAAATAAAAAACAACCGCAAGAACACACACTCCACATTATCCCTGGTTGTGATTTTAAGGATACCAAAGATACCAGAAGATGAAAATATGATACCTTGAGCCACTTCCCCATACCAGTTCCCTGAACAAAGCCATGGGCCCCACTGGCAAGAGTCATAGACTAGAAGGTCCTGGTGGTGCAATGCTGCACGTGTATTGGCATCTTTATGCCATTCTAAGGCCATGAATGCATGTCCCATGGCCTAATCTCTCCCTAGTCCTGAAACTCTCTGATCACATCTCTGTAACTTCCAAACTTGCAAATCACATCCCATATGGTCTCTCCACCAACAAGAAATGCCCAATTCTGAACCCATTATTCTCCAAAGTGCCAATGTCAGAGACTTACCTCCCTGGCTGGGAGCAAAGGGCTGATGGCCTCTGAAGTTGCAGTTACTCAGGAAGCAGAAAGGTTTTTGAACATCAACTCTCAAAGCAGACAGGGAGCCGTCTCACCACATCTGAAACTCTGAATATGAGGCCAGAATGCTGGGCAGGCTTTTGGTTTTGAAAGTTCTGCTTTGTACTGATAGATAGGACCAAAAGATCCTTCCTTCTAGGAACTTTGACAAAGAAGTAAACAAAAATCTCAACAGAAATATGTTATCTGATTCCTAAGTTCCTGCTACACCTGTTTGCTCTGTGTCTGCGGGTTTGGCAGAGAAACTCCCCTCAGAATA